TTTTTATAGTGATACCTTAATCGACATCGAGATGACTTGTTTGTCTCGATAATTTTTTTTGAATACTCTTAACGTTTTATCGCGATACCATAATCAACATGATGACTGAGACGATCATAGGAATAAATTCTTTATTTTCATAAAATGACGATAGTTATCGTCAAGATTTATCGAATAGCAGAAAAATCTTACTAAAATAATAGATATTGTGGTTAATAAAATTTGTGATAATCACTGATAGAATTTTATCGAATTTATCTAAATAAACGTATATCGTTAATTAACCTAACAGATTAACGATATCAAAAATGATTGAGATGAATCAGTTATTCTCAATAATCATACTAATTATCGCGATATTATTACGTATTGAGATAAAACAGAGTAGAGGATTCTTCTAATTCATCAGAACAAGAATGACATCACGATGCTTTTAGTTTTTGTCGAGCTGACTTGTTTTTTGTGATAAAGTCCGATTATTTCCATAATTTGTTTTCTAAGAAATGATGGTATATACCACGATAATATCTTGGCTAAGATAGAGTCCAATAAATACGTATCGTAGTTTATCGAGATATAGATATTTAAAATACTAAACGACTTATGCATCGCGATAGTCGCTTCTATCACATTTTATTGACAGACGTCCATAAAATCCAGTGACTGTTTTATTCTGTGCCCAATTAACAAGATATTTCAAAACATTCGACACATTATCGCCAATTTTGAGCTTAAAAAGCTCTCATTGATAGACTGATAAAAGTAGTGGTCTGACAAATTTTGCTTTGTTCATGTTTTAGTGATAATGAATACTTCTGTTGAACGTGGCTGTTTACGAGATTTATTGGTAGAATTTAAGGTACCAGAAGAAGCAAGTAATACTGTTCCAAATGAGTCATGTCAAAAACTTGAAGGCAGCGATTTTTTTACACTATGTAAATGTACGAGTCATCTATGCAATCAAGCTCCGTCGTCAATGATACCGGTTAATTATCAATTCATTATACCTATGATAATCATTCTTGTATTCTTTCACACATAGTTTTGCATATTTCATTTATTTATTTATTTTTTGCTCATTTATCTAAAAAAAATTGGTTTTTGTTTGCTCATTAATAAATAAAAATATTATTTTTAATAAAAATGAACTTGTAGAAAATGACAGGTTTAACAAAACTATTATGGATGATAGATTAATAGAGATGTTGTCCATGATGTTCATATAACGAAAAATTGTTTTGCTTGTAAATTTAGTTTTGTTTCTAGAGTTCTCTCAGCTGATTCATCATTCAACAGTTATGTACGTGCCCTGCTGCTCACTTCGTAGCAGAGTTGTAACCGGTCTGGAAATACTAGACCGGTTCGGTCCGGCCAGTCACCGGCCGATCTAAAAATATTTCCAGACCGGTAAAAACCGGCGGGTTCATCAAGTTTTTTCAAGTAATAACATTGATATTAGGGACAAAATTTGTAGTGTGTAAATGTAATAGTCTGTCTCAAGCAGTCATTTGTCGAATGACGAAACGTCACGAATAATTTGAAAATAAATTTGGGCAGAGATTCAATATGTCAAATAACAAAGCCAATTAAGACAAATTTGGGTTAGGAAGCTACGGTATCGGCATATCGAAAGTAAAAAATTAGATTAACATTAAAGAAAAAAGATAAAAGCATATAAACGCCCAATACGTGACAATGTTCCGATTGCTATGATATTTTAAGCAATAAATAATATGACTTTGTCTTTGAAAACAAATTGAAAGAATAAAAAGAAAAAATTTACATTTCAAATAAAATTGTCACTCTCTCTTTCCTTTAAAAAATACCCCCCATACATAGCACCCATACATAGTATCTTTCTGATGAAAAATGAACGAATATGCACAACTTTGTGAAACTGGTGAAAACCGGCCGGTCCAACTCACTCAACCGGTCCGGTTACAACTCTGCCTCATAGCTACGGGCTTGTCATATACATAAAAATCGACTGAAGAATATAACGATTATTGTGACTAGAATGAGCTTTGCTGGTCTTAAATGCAGTTTTGTACATCAAAGTTAGTAGAATAATTGAACCACAGTCTTAATAAAAAAGTACGAACAAACTGAAGCGTTTGATGTACATTGTACAATTCTCTTTATGTTCAGTCAAATTCTGTTTAATAACAATATATCTCAAGTTAACAATTACACTGACCGCGACCAGGTACATGTATTCAAATTCAAATATGACCCAAAGTTTATTAGTTATAAATTTTCAGGTATATCTCTAACTGTAGTAGCTGAATAAAGAATAAATCAGCTGCACTGTATGCCAAACGCGGCACATAATACTATCCATAACAGAATAGAATGGTTGCGGGTATTTTTGAAATAATCTTCAGAAAACTAGAGTACTCCGGATTTTGCCATTAGGAGATTTGAGAACATGTTTCAATAAGCAAACGTTTTTTGAAATACGTTTTCTATGAGATCTTTGGGAAATTGCTCGCAAGCAAAAGCTAAAGGATTTCTTGGAAATATAAATTTACATCTACTTCTTCTTCTTTTTCTCTTTTTTTTTGTTTTTTTTGGATAACAGTAATCATAAGGGCTCTTCGCGCTTTTCTGTTATCCCTGCAACACTCTATTATTGTTTTCTTAGCTATCTTTTTGTTGTCAAATAAAATCAAATAAAATCAATCAGCCTCGAAAATTTTCAATAGGATTATATTGATTTTTTTTTCATGGATCGGTAGTCTTCTTCAAAATGGGAGTCAAGCAAAACCTTGATTTTCATTAGTTCGGGTACACTGTAAAAGAAAGTCCGTATTTTAAATAAATCTTAAAGCGGTCGGGAAACCAAAACGATACCGAACGAATAAAGGTTTAGGAAAATACCGTTAATGCTTTACGGAAAGTGTTTTTTATCTTTCCCGAATCCCTTTTTCAATTCGGTGTTGTTTCAGTTTCCCGGATGATTAAAACTTAGTTGAAGTATATAATAACTAAGGTTCGGTAGAAAAAAAGACAGGAATAGTCAGTTAAACCTTACAGTTTGTATTACACATATAAGAAAAATTTCATTTCTACAGCAAATTGTTATTAGATCGTCCAGAAGTAACCTTCTCGTTTTTTTGTTTGAGACAAGTGCTACCAGGTTTCTAGGGTAGAAAACCCTTTTGGATTTATTAAAAAACCGCACAGGTTTACGAGAAAACCTAAAGATTTTCTATTCCAAATACAACGTGCTTACGGTTTCTTAATGCAACTCCGGTACCCTCTTGAGCTCTTAGAAAACGAAAAAGGGACGGTACTTTTAAAAAACGCTGTAGATGATAAATTCAAAAGCAACTATAGAAAATTGCTAGTAAATTTTTTTCCGTTCCGGGGCGAAAATGTCAAACGATTGGAATTATCAAAAATACGAATTTTTTTACAGAGTATGCTATCGAATTTCCTTGGAGTCAAAAGACTCGTACCCGGTGGCTATGTTTAACCTCGAAAACGGGTTGATTATATTTAATCGATCATACTGAGTCTCGTGGCAATATTCGTTTTCAGAAAAGGATATTAAAACTTACGAGGGAACCTATGGACATGCCCATCTTCGATTCCAGTGATTTATATGTCGATCGATAGAGCATAGCAAGCTAGTAAAAACGCTAAATGGATTTATCCCCATGACCCTGGACAACCCGGTTTTCTGTAAAACCAGTTTTGCAGAAACTCTAAAAAATAACCAAAACCTTTCTTAATGAGGCACGATTGTAGTCCACAAATTTCTGATTAAAATGAGACCCCTCCCAGTTTTACATGACCTTTCTTTGCCAAGTTATATAATTTACAAAAAAGCCCTAAATGTTCATTGTTTATAAAACGCTTTAGTTTTCCGAAAGGATTTCTACAAAATCTATGGAAAAAAACATGGTTTTTCAATTTTTTCGATTTTATAATCACGTCTTGCTGCTCAAATTAACTCGTTCTGATGTTTTAGAGTGATTGTGAATTTTTTAATACTAATGGAAACAACTGGTAAATCCTAACAACTGGTTTTAATAATAATGGAAACAACTGGTAAATCCTAATTTTCGAAAAACTTCATTTTCGCTAAGTTTTAAAAACAAATATTGCCACGAGACTCAGCATGATCGGTTGGTTATAATCAGTCTGTTTCTGAGGTTATGAATAACCACCGAGTACGAGTCCCTTGACTTCAAGGAAATTCGATAACGTATCCGAACCACTGAAAATCAAAGTTTCAGTGAACGTCGTATCGTGCTATCAAGCCATGAAGAAAAGAAGAAGATACAGCACTATACGCTAAAGCTGTATTTATATACGTAGTGACACATCAAGCCATTATATGAAAAAGGAGGAATAAAAAAAAAACACGTGTGTAAACCGTGTCTTGCTGACACAAACCAAAAGACATCACATTTTTCTTTATTTTTAACGTTGTTCTCTATTGCAGATAAAATTGTCAATAATTCATTTTGTTATTTATTTGAAAGCTAATTAGAAATCTATTAATATGAGTGCATTACAAATGTCTAGCATTGTTATACGGGTAAGAGAAGTTTTAATACCATTTCTACTTCTTCAATGTGATAGATAGATAGATAGATACAATACCCTTTACCGAATATCGGTGAGAAGTGAAGTTACAAGAAACATAGGGGTAATAGTAAAAGATGAAGACACCCACAGACATCCACAAATACTTACAGACGCTCACAGACAGCACACGTACAACCACAGTCAGCCACAGACAGCTACACAGACAGCACACATACATTACCCAGAAACATAGCTAATAAAAATGGGGATGCTGTCCGGATCTAAGGTCACTCGTAGAGTGAAGAGTTTTGAGCGCATCCAGAGAATGTAAAAAGCGTTCGAATCCATTCCACTTGTGTAAAATCGTCATAGAATGTGGGATGAAGTAAGGTAATATTGGCTACCACCTTCAAACCACAAGCGGACCTGATTTGAGAAGCAAGTATCATTTTGTTATTCACATGTCACACTTAGCTTTTCCGTTGGGCAGAAGTTTGGTTTGTTGTTGATTGATGTAATTCAGTTAATCCATATTATTTATCAGCTGTTGTTCCTTCTTGTATGAATTATCCCGCCGGCTAACCTATACCATAATCCTTACACCATTTCTTTGCGCATGACTTCACATGGCCTGTGATTCCTTGCAGTTTAAACGATTTCAATGTGACTCGAGTTTGTAATGGATATTTTTAATTGTTACGTATCTGTTTATCTTAATATGAGCGAAATAGGCAGTCATTGAAAGTAACTGAGAATCAGATATATATTGTTAGTAGAGAATTTAAACTAAATTTTGGAATAGAGATGTACAATCCGACCCGGCCTGAAGGTTGAGTACGGGTAGAGCAGTTAGGGGTATGGGTTTCGGTTTTATTTTAATTTACCAAAACCGTTAGAGATATAGGTTTCAGTGGAAAATCACAAAATTTTAGTAGAAGAATACAGGATTTTAGCTAAAATACATGAAGTTTTAAAAAATAGTTACTTGAGAACGTAATGCTAGTTTGTCATCCCCAGCCGAAAAACAAAAGTTTTTAGCTGGAAAAGGAAAAGAAGAAAATTTTTAGGCATAAGTTTCGTTTTTGGTACGGATACAAAGTTCTCGGATCGGGAAAAAAAATTTTTGGATAGGGTATGGGTACGAAAACGGTACGCATACACATCTCTCTTTTGGAACTACGTATTGTAAATATTAGGTCTTTACTGTTAGATACGATCGAAATGTTTTATTTACTTTTTTTCTGTTATCTTTAGCGTGCAACATCATTATTACATGTGCAACCGAGCGCTGTCGTTGCTATGCGTTTGGCCGGTCAAACAACGAAAAGTGAGATTTACTTTGTTCTAAATTATTTTTACCTCATTATGTTCAAGCTGATATTTAGTATTTTGATTAAAACAAGAATACGTTTCATACTTGGTTCAAAGGAAGAGTATTTTGAAAATTCCCTTCAAATTTCTTGCACGCTCTTAGTAGTGCATTCTTTCATAGATGATTATTTCCGGAACGCACATCGTCGTGTGATCTATATGCGACCTTATCATTTCTTCGATTTTGTTTTTTAGATGATCGGGGTAGCAGACATTATCAAGAAAACGAAAAATTCGACAGTGGTTCGAGTAACGATGAAACTGATTCAGTGAATCAATCAACGAAAAATCAACAAAGTGGTGCTAATCAATCGGGAAGTCAGAAATCAGGAAGCTCGACGAGCAGCCACGAATCAAGCGGTAGTCAACGAACCGGAACATCTGGTAACACGAATCAGAATCAACCAGGAGGTTCGTCATCTTCAAAAAGTGGAGGTTATGGTGGCAGCGATCTAAATAACTCATCGAAATCAGGCAGTGATAATCGATCGGATAGCCAACGACCAGGTAAAACTAGTGGTCAATCAACAAAGTCGAATCAACAAGGTGGAAGTTCATCTCAATCAAAAGATAAAAAACATTAAATCTCGCTCATTTGATATTACATTCATTTTTTTCCCAGCCAATCATCAATGTTTACTTTATTTCAGGTAATCTAAATCCAGCCTTTTCTCTGCACTTTAACTGAAGATGATTTTATTCACTAAACTTCTTTTTGAACTAATCCTTATATTATTTTTACTTTGTGTGATGAACGTTATTTTCCTTTTTCTATTTTTTGTCATTGATAACAGAGGTGAACAGTTTTTATTGTATTAACAGTTTTTTTTGTATGAAAGAAGTATTATAACTGAAAACCGTGGAAATGCTGTAACTATCTTGTACTAAGTATAATTGAACGGTGACTGTTTGAGCAAAATTATGCTTTGCTTGTGTGTCAGTGAGCTAAGTATTACTAAATATATAGAAAAGAGAATCTGATATGATGAAAATCGCAGCTCAACATTGGTTGAACTTTTCTGTTATTCAGTTTAGAGATTTCAAAAATGCTGCCTTTCGAATCTTGTATTTTCAGTTTACTATTTGCATCTAGAAGTGAATGAACCTTGCTAATAACTGTACATATGAAAAAATATTGTCGTCATTAGTAATAACTAAGGCATACAGAAGAAACTCATGACGCAAGAAATACGGTCTTCGCTTTTAGCTTCCTAAAAATCAAATGTTCTAAACAAAGTAAAAATTTGACGAACTTATTCATAACATCCGGAAATCGCCGTCGCCGCGAATTCAGTGTTAAACTGTTAACACTTTAGAGTTAACACTTTAACACTTTAACATATACGAACTGGCGGCGAGTGAGGGTGAGAGTAGAGAAGTGAGAGTGAAGTGGATGAAGAAATGCTCCACCCTCATCCTCACGTCCTCACCCTCAATTATGCACGCTTATACTTTAACACTTTAACGTATAAGAATCCGCGGCGACGGCGATTTCCGAATGATGCCAACTCTTTTGTACCGCGAAAAAAGGTTTAGAGACAAACTTGTTTTTTCTTTTTCGTAAGGCATAGAACTTATGATAGCTATAAGGAAAGATTTATATGGCGTTTAGCTTGAGTGTGTACATATGAATTCTGAATGAAAAATGAAATTGAATTAGGTACTAGCTATTGGCTAGAAAACAGATTTAGTACGAAAATGATTACGCATTGAATGTGTGTCAGAGCAGATTTCGTAGAAAAATCATCAACAAATACATATCGAATGTGCCGCTCTTTAAGGTATTTACAGCAGTGTTGTAACTGCTAGGACACGTATCTAAGGGAGTATATCTAGTGTGACTTTCAGAATGCGTAACTTTTTTAAAGTATAGTGCGCACGTAGCCTTCAATCGTCCTGCTAAGGTTGTTGATACTAGATCGGACGAAATCAGTGTAAAAGATAATCCATTTGTTTTTCACATTGGCGGCTTTTTTTTCGATCAGTAAATGAACTCTTCCTATGGTACACATGTGCTCAATACCATCAGTTGATTAAATTATATTAGAACTGTAATAGTGCATTCAACTTGTTCATCAATAGCTTAAGTGTTCTCTTACTAATGCTCTAAAACAGTTAAAAATAAATTGTACAAATGCATTCTGTAGACTAACATGAAATAGTTGAATAAGAACTTCTTATCATCCAACTATTTAATTTTCTTTGAATTGACAACTCTAGAGTGTCTTGATAATCTTCTACTAATAAACTAATTTGTGTACAAACTCGATGCTGTTGGAAATATTATATGCTATGCTGATGTTGTTGAGTCAATAGAATTTCTATTGTTTCTACTGCCATCTTAAGGTTGCAAACGTTCTCCTTTTTCGAACTTTAGATTCTTTGTTTTCTTTTTTTAATGAGCCGACAAAAAAGATATATAGTCCACGTACAGTAGAGAAGATCCACACCCAGTGAAAAAATAGTGAAAAATAAATTAGAGTTAATGTTATATGTTAGCCACTCTATAAAATCGAGCAGCCTCTTCTATTGGGTGACATACATTCCTCTCATTTTTAAACATGCGTACCGTCTCCTTTTCGGCTTATTGCTGTTCTCCAGAGTCCGCATGTTCTTCTTTCTTTCTTTCTCTACACTTTTTCTGTCCACCGTTCTCGATTATGTCTGATCGTACAGATTTGAGAAAAAGATTATTCGAAAGTAGAGGAATCGTACATAACAGAACTAAAGTTAGTTTTCGGATATTTGCTTTAGTTATCCTATAATCAGTGACATAAAAAGAGTATGTTTTTTAGAAAATTCGATCGATCTTCCTATGTGGCAATTAAACATCACGTGAAATCGTTCGTGGTGAATCTATACTATAGTGCTTGATATTATGAAAGCTATAGCAGAATGTATGATAGGATAATGAATCAGCTGATACAATAATGTGAATAATTAAGATTCTTATTCTCTTCTTAATATTTATAATTTCGTTTCTGTTTTACTTGCTTCTCACAAGCGTTCACTCAGTCAGCTTCCAATCTTCGCAAAGCGCAGTTGGTATCTAGTTTATTCTTTCTCTATAAGACTAAAATACAGTGCAATAATGTGAAGAGATGGCCCTAACACGATAAATGTTGATATGAGAAAGTTTCTGAGAAATACAGCTTTTAACAACTTCATCTAGAAAGTTTAACCTGCCTCTTATGATACTAATTTCTTCTAATAAACTGATTTTAAACTGTTTAAACTAATATGCCTTGTCCGAAGAAAGGATCAGGTCAATAAAAAGTTTTTTATAGCTATCGCTTCCTTTTCCTGTTATTAGTGGTTGCTGCTATTTAGTAGAGGTGCAATACATTTTTTGTACCACCTCTTCATACTATTGTACTATATCGTAGTCTCATAGAGAAAGCATAAAAAATGCCCAATTTATGTCAACAGAAACGGTAAAATATTTTCTTTTTTGACGTGAGAGAGTATACATGTTCAGGAACTGAGAAGGATGTGCGTCATGTATAAGAAAAATCGTAGAAAATTTCATCATAAATAATAGAGAGAGAATCAATATAGCCAATATGGTTATACATTGTTTTTTATATGAGTAAAGTGTAATGTCAATTAATGTTAAAACATCAACGTTCGACATATTAGACAAAAAATGCGAAAAACAAGAGCAAATACAACGCATGACTGTTTTACAGATGATCAGACATTGGACAGAACTTCTAGTGAACTGTATCAAGCATGTTCAAATAATGATATTATGAAAGTTAAACGATATACTGAAAAACTCTCTATTGATGATATTAATCGACCAGAAAAAAATGGAAACACGGCATTACATATAGCTACACTCAAGGGATATACAGAAATTATTAAACTACTTTTAAAACGAAATCCATGTAGATCAATAAAAAATATTTATAATTATCGACCGTATCAGTTAGCGACCACGGATGAAATTCGTCATTTATATAAACGTGCAAATTGTTTTCCGCGATTCACATACAAGAGTGGGTGTTTACCATTATATCAAAAAGAAAATAAATCAAGAAAAAAGTTTTCTATTAAACATTATTTGAATCAATATAGCGCTGGTTGTTCGCTGTGTGACAATGATGATCCTTGTGAATGGGAAATTGTTGATGAAAATGCCGCCGAAAAAGCTGCACGATTTCGTAAAGAATCGAAACATTCTCTATTTTTTGGCCACAATGTTGGACGTGATTTAAAAAATAGACTTTATTCCATTAAAAAAGGCTATTTAGACTCGAGATTACGCGATATGCCACTGAATGATAGTATCAAATATTATTTTAGAAAAGCAAGTGATGAACAAGATCCATGTTATGTTATTAAAGCTTACACATCAGCATGTAATTTCTATAGTTATGTCAATGGTGATATGGCTCGAAATGTCATTCATGATTTGAAGCAAGGCTGTTCAAAGTTCTTTTGTACTCGTTTGTATTCGGCTCAAGATGGTGTAATGTCCATAACATCAATATTACTCCATCATCCCTATTTTGAACCGTACAGTTTTATTGGCGAAGTGTATCGTGGAATGGTTGTTAAGAAAACAAGTCTTGCTCATTATCGATGTGGTATTCGTATTGTTAATACAACATTTTTGTCAACATCGAAGACAGAAGATGTAGCTGAATTTTTTAATGAATTAGAAAATGATTCACACAATGAGGTATCTGTATTTTGTACATATAAAATTAAAAATAATCGAACAGCATTGGATATTAGTGGCATGTCTGAAATACCAGATGAACAAGAGGTACTCATATTACCGTTCGCCGCTTTTGAAATCATGAGCATAGCACGAGATAAATGCGGAAGAACGGAAATATGTTTAGAAGAATGTGATCCCCCAGAAGAAAATGACAGCAGTGTTGAATTAGCAGCACCACTCCAATATTTTACCAGACATCATTTTCTACCGAAAGAAGGTTTGCGAAAAAGAACATCATTTTAAGAAGTTTATCGGAATTGTAGTTTAAACTGAAGAAGTAATTTTTAGTCGTAGTAGTTTTATTATGTATAATCAATTTCTTGATAATTGAGCAGTAGCATCGCTTTCGTAGGTAAGGCTTTCAAAGGACATTCAAAACTTGTTCATGATTCAACATTTGTCATAGAAACATATTTCTTTCGTGAATAGATAGTCCGACGTGTCCTCTTCCAAATGGGAGACAAGCGAGACATTTGTCCTCTACAGTTTCGAAACGGCATCAGTTTTCCTCAAAGTGCTATGGTAGGTATCTGTTGACTCCTGGGAACCAACGGGATCGAGGATATTGAATCTCATGACAATGTTTTGATTTTCGAAAAAAGTTAAAACCCTTTCTTTCAAAAATACACAGTTTAAGAGTGTTTTTACTTAAGATTAAAAAATTTATATCCCCATCAATCCTGTCCGGATTTCATTTGAACCTATTCTCTTAAATCCGACTGTCAGAATTAGGCAAGGTAAAATCGATTCATAAAATATAATTTTGTTGCAATCTGAACAGAACCGATTGATATGGATATTAGTTTAATTTAAGATGACGTACAAAATGTAATTGTTTGGACTGTAATTTGTTCTAGTCAGTACGTTTGATTATAGAAATATGAAAAAATAATAATAAACATCAGTTAAAAACATTTTATGTTCCAATTATTTTTGTTTTTTGCTTAGTATTTATCAACAAGTGTTTGTTTTTTCGATAAAAGTGTAAAAAAGTACAGAAGAAGTATCGCTTTGGCTTTTATTAATGCATTTTTAACATGATCACCTCAAATAAAAATATTCATAAAGTGTTTTTTTTACAACAACTAAAAACCTTCCATAGACGGTGCATATAACTGATACTGATCAGTTACTGATCATACACGCTTAATTCGTTTTCTTTAGATAATACGAACGAAATACTTGTTTCTAGCTAGAGTTAATCCTTATAAAAACAGCAATAATTTTCATAAAAACATAATTTAAAGTCATTTGTCCACTCTTTGTATCATCTTCAAATGATTCGTTTCATAACTATTGACATTCGATATTCTTCCATATCGGTGTGGACTATCTTCCAATGATTTTATAATTGGCGTTGTGTAATAAAAAAGTACAATAAGGAAAATATAGTCATTGATGATAACAGCAAGACCCCATGACTTTGAGGATAACACTAATGAATCAGATGATATTTAATTATTCAGTTAATCTGTCAATTAATGAGACAATCTATTTCAAATTGCGTTAGCTGGTGTAAACACAAATGAACTATGCCATCGCTATGAACCTGTAGATAATAATTTCGAAAATTTTGCGCAAGAAATTCAGTCTGATAAAAGATTTTTACTCAATACTACGATAAAACAACGAATCTCGTTTGTTAAAACAGTGTTTTAATGACTCGTTTGACGGGTGATAAACTCTAATTTTCAAGAGGTAACAACATAACAATGTACTCAATATACTTTGCTCAATAAGAATAAGAGAAATGTTTATTTTCTACAGAATTGATCATACCATCAATATAAAAAACTTAAATCAAATTAAATATTCTAAAAACTAAGAGAAAAAAAGATTGAAAAATCATCTGATCCTCTCTTTTAATGGTTAAAAGGGAAGATTACTTTTTTTTTAGAGAACTGTACCAGTTTGCATTATAGTCATTCAGTTACTAACTTTATTACATTGGACACTAATGTAAAGATTCTTTGTCATTTGTGAAAGACCAATCATCATCCATTGTATTTACAAGTAATTATATCATTGAATAGACATTAAACTATTTATATAATACTCAAACATTGAAACTAGCATTCAATGATATATGCAACAGATTGTCAATGAATGAAAAAGAAATTATTCGTTTAATGTAACTTAATTAGTCACAAGTGTTAACAAAATTTTATAGGGTAAGATTATAATATACAGTAGTACGACGATGAACATTTACTATAATTATTTGTTTATTTGTCTTGTTGAACTATGATATTAAATAACTTATACACAAAATTGTAATAAGCTATTTATTGAAAAACAAAATCTTTTGTTCTTTTTTTCTTGCTACCATATGTACTTCATGTTGAGAAGTGGCTGTAATACAACACTTTCATCTACTCGATAACCTCAAACATACGCAGTGAATTTTTTTTTTTCTTTTTAAATAATACAATGTACCACAAAGATAGGATCATCTACATAATTTATGAGTGTTACACTTATTGATTTACGTTTATTAATGAAGTAAATACAAGGCAATGTAAACTTTTTTAGGACAAAGTTATTCCAACTAATAATTACAAACTATTTTTTTGATATGAACACTGTGTGTTGGGTTCCGAACGCTAAGATACTGCAAAAAATTTTTATCAATCATTGACGACTAACAGTTAGCTTTGTATTAGATTTTTATTATAGTCTTTGAATCTTCGATCATTCATTACAAATTTTTACTTTCTGTTATTAGAGAAATTTACCGTCTACTCACATTGAACTAAAAGAATAAATAACAAATATTTTTATTATTATGGCTCTAACTGTTCAACTTGAACTTCTTACTCTTTTCCTCGTTCATTAAAAACAATATGTAGTCTAATTTAGCCTACATTTTGGACGAGATGTCTTTTCAAAAAATTTTTTTTTTCATTTGGCAAACATCATTCTTCATATTTAGATTATCAATACAGAAATATGCATCTGTCTTATTAAAGTTTATCATTATTATGTATGGTCTAATAAACAATATATCTTGTTGAGTAGTATATCGTAAAAATATCGCTTTTCCTCTGATAATCTACATTTTTATTAACCTTTACAACTTGTAAATGTAAAATTTATCAATGAAACATTTTAGTCTACTATAAAAAAAAAACAAATAGAAAAGTGAGTATTAAATGAGAGATTTTATATATAAATCATAACTATTAACGACTTAATTCAGTTCATCTAAATGAGAAAATTTCGAAAATGATATTTTATATATAAAGTAAATGTTAGCTTTACTATTTACTTGTAGAAAGGTCAATAAAATTGTTACTTTACCTGATAAAACAAAAAAATCAAAACTATCGCTCAGTCGGTATAAAAAAATGACAAGCTGCCAAAAGAACCGTATCAAATAAAAGACGCCTCATTTTGTTTTCTATTTGACATATACAACTGATTTCTTTATCAGTGTCAATACAACAAAAAAGAAAGAATATAAAATATCATTAAAAAAAAAATTATTTTAAGATAAGTAATATAGAGATATAAGACTTTCTAACGCATTCATATAGTTTCGTCTATTGTGATATATAAATTTTATTTCTTCAGATGTATACATAATACCTTTTTTCTAGTCATGAATAGCACTTACACATTTTCTGTTTTTATCATGAGATTCTTCATTGCAAAATTCTATTTTTTCTTCGTCTTTCTTCTATAATTTTATACATGGTAATACATAGTTTGGTAATACCATTATAAGAAAAGAAAAAGAAAAATAATTCGACAAAGGAATATTTATTTTAACTTAAGTCACTACTAGGGACACTTAATCATATCATATTTCAAACTTTAGATGATTAATAGACATCTTTCATATTTATTCAAATATAAATAGAAACTTCATCTACCGCAAAGCGTTTTTTTTCATTCATCTGGATATAACGGTTACTCTTGCGCATCATTGTTAGTAAAAAGCAATACGAAATCAATATGATCTAGACATTTTCGTTTAAAGGATTCTGAATAATAATTATTAATCTGAACATGTTTGAAACAAAACGCTTGTATGATTAAATAATACCATTGTCCATTTTACTTTATGATAAATTAAAGATCAAACAAAGAATACATTGGAAAATGGCCGATGAGTTAAGCGAAAGTCAACTAGCCGAAATGGAACAAGCATTTTTCAGCATTGATAAAGATAATAGTACAGAAATATCTATAGAAGAATTGGGTAAGTAACGGGTGTACCTTAAATAATGTCGGTCTCGGTATTTCTGCTCGAACTCCTGTTCATTAGGTCTTCTGGAGCAAATTCTTTTTTTAACAGAAGCGCCGAGAAATTCTCTGCAAAATCATACCTAAACTTTAATTTCAGAACTTCAATCAAGAAACTAATCAAATTATACGAAAGATGAAAAAAATGAAAACTTTGTAAATTTGGCATTTTTTTCGACTTGAACTTTTTCTTCTGCTATTATTTCAGTAAAAAAGCGTAGCAAAAGTGAGAATTCAATTTGTGTTTGGTGATTTTAAATGTGCTCTTTCTTGTGGTTTGTAAAAGAAACTTTTTAGAGCAGATGATGTGCTCGAGAACGAAGTTTCAATAATACGTCAAAAATTGAGAACCTCTCCGTTTCCCACAATGTGTCCAAGCAAGAAACGGAAAACGTCATCGAAGGTTTCATGTTGCAATTAGGTCGAGAAGAGCAATCATTTCGAATCAAAACAAAAAACAAACCCGATCGAAAAATCTTTTGCTTTGATAGAGTTATGAGACTTTTACTGAAAGCATCGCCATGCACAGAATTTAAAAAATTAATGAAAAAATGCGTGAGAACCGATAGAAAAATTATTATTTCGCCGTTTTGATGTGAAAAAATGTGTAGTATAGCTAAAACATAGAGCAAAGTCGGTGCTACAAAATGGTTAATTCACTTTTTATTACTTTCAAAACGTTAACACATGAAATCGTTTTTGATTTTACAAAGTTTTCATTTTTTCATCTTTCGTATAGTTTGCCGAGTTTTCTTTATTGAAGTTCTGAAATAAAAGTTTAGGTATGATTTTGTAGAGAATTTTTCTATCTACTAAAAAAAGCTTCTATTAAAAAAAGAATTTGCTCAATGGGACCTAATGGACAAGAATTCGAGCAGAAATACTGAGACCGACATTATTTATAGTATACCAGTTAGTTAGTAAGGTCAATATGATTGGCTATTGAATAAAAACTTCTTTTTTTATAGAAATAGTTATGCAAAGTCTGGGTTTAAATCCAACTGCAACTGAATTACGACTGATGATTAGTGAAGTAGATGCGGACGATAGTGGTACAATTGATTTTCCAGAATTTGTCACAATGTTAGCGGTGAGAATGAAAGATACCGCGAATGAACATAGAATTAAGGAAATATTTCAATTATTTGATAAAGATGAAGATGGACAAATATCACATAATGAATTGAATGTAAATTAGAAAAGTATCTTTTAAAAATTATACAATTGATTACTCCCTGTTGTATTCTAGAATATGATGTTAAATTTGGGCGAAAAGTTAACTGATGATGAGATTCAGGATATGCTTAAAGAAGCAGATATTGATGGTCTGTATCGTTTTCTCATTTTCTCCCTCATTCGTAGTCATGTCATAGTTAATTTTCTTACTCTTCTGCTTTTTAGGTGATGGACACGTAAGTCAAAAAGATTTTTTACGGTTAATAATGGCTCCCGTTGAAGCAAATAAAAAGTTTAAACAGTTAAAAAAAAAAACGAAACAAAAAAAAGTCCAAAAAAAGAACTAGTAAAATTTAGAAGACGTTAATTCATTAAACACTTAACGATTATTTTGGCTGGTATCGTGTGTGTCGATGGATGCGATAGTCAATTTTTTCTTAAACAATATTCTATATTTTGTACAGATAGAAAAGGACAGTTACCTTTGAATTCCTTTACTTGAACTATCGAATCAACAGTGAATGCCTTTGTTATTCGTTTGAAAAATTAAATTTCATAGTAATTGTTTTATTTCCATGCCAATATGGTTTAATAAACTATACTATTTGTCGTCGCACACATTCATCATATTCAAAATCAGACATCTTTATTCAAATATTTTTGTTATTATTTGGTTAACAGCTACTGTTATCAGCATTATTGTGAATTAAGTAATTAAGTTAGTTTCTCTACACCAAATAATTATCATCATCATCAAAATCCTTGGTTTATACAAAACGAAAAATCGTTCATTATCAAGCAAATACAACTCTAAATCAACCGGAGAACAAAATACAAACCTTTTTAACAAAGAAACAGTATAAATTTAAAGAATCGAGTATTCTTAGCACAACGATCACACAAACAAACGATTCCCAAACATATTTAATCGTAAACTATGTTATATAAGAGCAAAAGCTTAGTTGTTAACTGCATAAAATCACTGTACATTTAAATTAATAGACATAGCATTCTTTTTTTGAATAAAGACTAATAGAAACACGATCACCAGTACAGTTTCACATTCTATAATCTCATCGAACCATAAAACAGCAACTTTTCTATTAATCCTTATCAACACAAAAATACTGCGGTTAAGACAGAAAAGAGACCTTCAACATTAGAAAAAACGTCAAAAACTTCACCAGTTTTTACTTTCCTCTCAGCTATGTGTGATTCTAAGGGGATATGAATCATAAATTATATCATAATAAATTCATAAATCCAGTTTCATAAATCACACATTTATGAAACTTGGATGTTGAATTTTTTAACCGACAAGTTACATAATAATGAAAAATTTTATGAAACTTGTAAAAAATTTCATAAAAAGTTTAACATGGCTCTCAGAGAAGCGAATTTTTTTAATTAGTACATGTCTCCGAGAGACCTATGGTTGTTAACTAAATTGGTTTAATTGATGAATGAAGGTAATGAAGGTCGCATATGTCTCTAAGAGGGTTGTTACAGTAGTATAGTAGTATAAGCCTTATAGTGACATATGTTGATCAGTAGGAATGATGATCGTAACTTTGTTATTTTTTAAGTAAAAGACGCTGGTACTAATATTTCAATTAGTGATGAATGAGTCTACGGCTAAATAAGCTGATAAACACGTGTTCCTCGAGAAAAGTTACGTTACAATATGTCTCTGAGCAACGTATAGGTCTCGGAGAGGTTGAATCTTAGTTCTTTTAAAATAAAATATATTTTACTGGAGAGAGAGCAGATAGATCGAAACCAGCCATTATGCGAACCTATTTCATGTAATAATTTTAGTGTCTCCCAAGCGTGCGTCAGTTTTCTATAGTACCATACCATGGCCCTGTATATCACTAATCATGTAAATAAAATTACGCATATGTTCATCTATTGCAAAATTTCCATTATACGTATAAGATAAGAAAATAAATGATCCCGGAGAAAATGTAGAAGTAATCCCGTTTACAAAATTTTTGTAAAATGATAACATAAATGATCCCGAAAAACCGAGATCAATTGTAGATAAATTAAATAAGGTGCCGCTAATTCAAACATTGAGCAACGTTTTTTTCGTGATGTTTATACATGGTTGGATAGCGCTCGTCGAGCTGAGTAAGAATATATGTGTTTTGTTCTTTCGAATTGACTGACTGTATGAAGAGAAAATTTGAAAAACCTCAAAATTTTTAATAAAACTGGCTTTTTTGGCCGTTCATGTTGTTTCATTCAAACACGTTCTTTTAGACTCAACATATAAAACTGAGTCTAGAAACATGGATTTGAGAGAGTTCAAATGTAATATGTTCAGAAAATTTTGGACATGAGTCGAATCTTGAAAATGCGTCTAGAGCACGTGCCAAAAGCTTCACGTCTCATCAGGTGGGATATTTAGTCGATATTTTTATTTCATTGTACTCGTCATCATACGAGGAAAGAGCTGTTTTCCAAAAACTAAAAACTAGACTTTTCCCCCAAAAACCGAATGTTGTGGAAAAATTCTAAATCGCACATCATCTGTTTCAGCTTTTGGTGCTGATTCTACAGATGAGACACTTTTTTATGAAACGTTAAATTCTGAAAGCGAAAATGGCAAAATATGAGCGCAATTCTATGGTTTTCTAGTGATTTTAAAAAAATTGAAATTCTCTCCAACGGAGTAAAATTTCCTAAAAAGGCTACGTAACCTTTTTCATTCACCGTATCACAATTGGCTTAGCTTTTTTCTTCGTCTTAGCTGTATCTTCATAGCTACAATGGGAAACTAGATGAGCATCGAAAACCACTTCTTGACTGTTTTTACCGTAGCAAAGGGAGACCTAAAATCCAGTTGTCGATTAACTCAATTAATGTTTCCTTTTGTTGAAACCAAAAGCGAAAAAGAGTGAAATCGAAAAAAAAGTCAGAACACAAGAAAAGAGAGAGTTCTTTCCCTTTTCGACGTCAATTACATGTCAAAATTCACTTGTGAATACAGGCAATAGTTTTTGATAATATTAGTAATTTACTATTTTTAAAAGTATCATTTTTTCTCTATTTTTGCTTCCTCACCAGGTCAAATAAACAGAGAACAAATAAGATGTTAAATGAACTTTCTTTGAACCTTCATTCATGTATGTCAATACTCTTTTACTGTGACATTCACGCTAATATTTCTCTCCACTTTTCACAAAAGTATGGATATAGGCTATTTAGACACTTTATAAAAACTCAAAAGAACTCACGAGGGAACCTTTCCAGCTGTCCAACCGCTTTTGTAACGAAATGCGGTTGGACAGCTGGAAAGGTTCCCTTGTCAGTTTAAATCAAAAAAATACCATTTTCAAAGATAATGAAGCCTAAAGGTATTAGATAGATGAGTCTAAAAGAGCGATGACAGACTCTAGCTATTTAATTCAAATAAAGACAAGATAAGCTAATAGAGCAAACGCTCGGAGGAAATCGCCAGACCCAACACGAAAAACCATTAGAACGACGTTGAATGTAGTGATTTGCTTTGAGCGTTTGCTCTTAGCTTCTCTTAACCAATAAAGAGTCACTTGCAACATCTGAGTGTTCAATCGTTTAAAACTAGCTTATATTGGAATATTCATCACTGAAAGTCTTACTTTCTCATACCAAAGATTAGAAAAAAAGAGTAAGATCAGCGATGTCTCGATTATTATATATTAGCTGACACGATAGGTGTCGCTCTACCGAACTTAAGCTGTTCTGAGGCTTTGATGTCCTAAATATAATAGTTAAACAATTCAACTATCTATTAAACACTCATGATAAAAAACTGTTTATTTTAGAAAGTATACTGGTCCTTTCCTGACAACTACGCATAGCGAACAGCAGTAATGGCGAATGTTTATAGATGTTATTTGACTATTGTGTATATATTATTATTGTTCACTGATACGTAGTTATTACTCTTCCATTATGGGTACTCATACGATTCATCGTGCTATCGGTCACCGTGATCCATTGTCGTTTCCTCGTTTCGAATCAGACGAAACATTCAACGGCAAAGTTCAATGTCAGAAACATCCTTACACTACACAGACTCATGAAGCACAACGAGATGAACCATGGAATCGTTTATATTCGACTGCTACACTGTCCAGTGGTCGACATGAAATTTATACAACCGATCCAAAAGCTCCAAGCGACAGTCTAGATTTCTTATTAAAAGCCACTTATGATCAGCATCAAGAAACATTCGCAAATAAAGCAAAAACGTCTGTACAGAAAGAAACAATATCTGATGATCATGGGTATGGGAAAAGAGAAGCAGACACAACAAACCATTGATTATTTGTTGTTGTTTTAGACGCATATTGAAAAACAGAGTTGTTTATAAGGCAGAAGTACCACCTGAATTAAATCATCCATTGAGAATAGCTGACAGTAGTCGAAAAGAACATATTGCTGAACCAAAACAAGCGATACGTAAGTCATCTTTATATCTGAAGGATGAATAGAACAATTACTATAAGCTATGTTGTTTTCTCGCCCTTCATCCAGATTTTGTGAAAGATACGCACAACTTTCTCTTTCAATATTTTTTCCATTTGTTTATTTTTAGAGGGTATACATTCAATGTTAACAAATCGTGGTTATGCACGAAATCATCTTGGCTCATTTTTCGTTGCATAGCGATCATATACTCCATACTTTACTGATATATTTTGATCTATGCACATTGACACTGCACAACAAAGTCATTTCCAAAAGATAATCACACATATATGCATTATAATTGTCTATTTACTTTTTCTTTCATATTCATTTTTTTTAATACGATTAAGCAAAAAAAAATCGAGAATCAGCTGAATCAGATTATTAGTGACTCTTAATCACTCTGTAAAAGACTCTAGTTTTTGGCAACATTGTTCATTTGTTCAAGGTATTAGTAGAAGAATATGACGTATTTAATGCGTTTACCTTGTAACTATAGTCTTCTACGTTTGTATTAATTTGGTCTCTTCTATCTTCCTATAAGTATTTTGTTACAAATATTAGAGTAAATGTGTTGAGGGACAATTCTTTCTTGACTAATAATATCCATTGTAAAATGCACAACCCATTGCTTAAAGTTTCTATTTTATCTGTCTACTAAACCATTTACTTTGAAAAAATTATTTATTTTCATCAAAATTATTGGCACAATCCTTTTTAATCATTGTAGTACAATTAAAGTCCGTCTTCTAAGCTAGTTCTATTATCGTATTCATAATGTTTTATAATTTCCGTCATTTTGTTTGTTGTCTCAGGTAAGCATTTGCAAATTGATTAAAAATAAACAACCGTAGGTAATATTTTGATTCTGTCAACTAACAGTTTCAATATGACATTGTCTTTTACAAACTGAACTAACAACAACAAAAGATCCAGAGTAAATAAGACCTAGAGAGTGAATAGACGTTGTCACTTTCGCATAGGTTAAATCTAATTTTAACCTTATGAGTTTAACGTGAAAACAACTTATTTATTTGAATTTAAATTATTACTGGAAAAATGGATATATATTTATCTTTAGTACTCTTCATATATGGCGGCACAAATTCTGACCTTAACAGAGTTAAATGCACTTTTTGCTGATGGCAATTTAAGTTACAAAATTTACAAAATCAAATGAAAAGAAAGTATCATACATACAGTCAAAGTGAATTCACGTGCCAATCGGTTGGAATAATAATTTAACAGTCATGTGTGAGTTCGAATAGTCATTCCTATTATCGGTGTAGGATCTCTTGCAATATCGTGATAATTTATCGAAAATTTATTTAGATTGACATAAAGAATATATTCAAAAATCAACATCTAATACCTCCGACTGAAAGTAATAATAATTAAGAAGTCATGAACACTGCAGTCACACTACGTCTTAAATCATGAATAAAGCTAATCATGATTAATAATGTTGAGATGTGACCGCATCTGTTTTTAATTATAATTAAGTAAAAGGTGCTAGCACGCTAACCATGATCAAAGGCTACTCGTGATTGAAAATAACAAATAAATAGCAGAATAAAAGTTGCTCATTTTTCTGCCGGTCGAGTGAATGATGAATCCTGTCACTTTACTGAACGTTATTAAGCAAATAAAAGTATTTACAGTAAAGAGACCAGAAAAAAATATATTCTAAGCTGCGGTATGTCTTTGTGGCTTTTCCTGTTCTGGAATCGTTTGACAAAAAACCATAGACTGATAATACTTTTTTTTTTCGTGTGCGAACAACTGAATTTGCTTAGTATTAAGCAGATAGTAAGGGCGGCTATAGTTCGGCGTTTAGTGAATATATGAAAACTCCGCACTATCGGACAACTTTCAGGTCTGACAAGGGTATCCTCTCGTTTCGTCCCGTATTTGTTAATTAGCTCTCGTTTCGTCCCGTCTCATTTCGTCCCACACTTGTTTCGTCCTCTCTCGTTTCGTCCCACACTCGTTTCGTCCCGTTTACATTTTCTATCATTCTACTCATTTTATAACTATTCATTTTTTTCTATCAACTGTATACTAATCAATATTAATATAATTTGATAATTGATACATGGCTTGATAATTTAATTTTAACGAAGTCATTTTGTATACTCCATCATAGAGTTTAACTGTTTAACGAAGCTTTTGTAGAGAAACAATACTCATGAATGAAACAATAGCAAGGACCTGACGGTTTGACCGTTACATTGTTTCATGGACTATAAATTGAACTATCATATGCCTTCATGGCACCATTTAATACAACAACATTTATGTAATAATAATGTTCTATACAGAAACAAAACGTGGTGGCAAAATTCTTAATTTTAACGATCATCAATATACAAAAAAACGTTCATGATTTAATTATTACTGATCAGCCGCGAACAAATAATCATGTCGAAGATGTGCATAATCGATTAAAACAGCATTTTAGTGTCCATCTACATATTTATGAGTTTATCGAAGCATTATAAGAAGAAAATGAATATAATTATACACGTTATACAGAATCTTTCCCGCAAACAGTCTAACGGAAGAAAGTATACAGTAATTGTGATAATAAATTGAAGGAGTATTTTAAAAGATATGAAAATGGTACTTTGTTTGGAACTGAGCTTGCAATCAAATGCGGCAAATGTGTTAATACTGTAAAATTACCTGTTTCATTGTAACTCGTAAATAAAATAATAAATGTAACTTATAAAGCCATGTATCAATTATCAAATTATATTAATATTGATTAGTATACAGTTGATAGAAAAAAATGAATAGTTATAAAATGAGTAGAATGATAGAAAATGTAAACGGGACGAAACGAGTGTGGGACGAAACGAGAGAGGACGAAACAAGTGTGGGACGAAATGAGACGGGACGAAACGAGAGTAATCCCTGTCAAGGATACAGCTACTTTTGTTTTAGCATATGGCTGGAAAAATCCAAGTTAACACATTTTGTGCAACTGTGGTTTTGAAATTAATTGCTATTTCGAAATATATGTAACAAGTGCTCAAAGTCTACCGTAATTTCAGACCCATGCGCTGTAATACTATCAAACGTCTTTGGGTCTGAAAACTGCACACAGAAATCATTCAGTTCTTTCCTTATATTAGACCCGTTCCTTTTGTATATATTGTATCCTCCTGTTTAATGCTTGCAATCCGCGGACACAAGACCAATTATTTTTATTTGTGAAAAGTCAAAACCAGACTTCCGCACTCTCGCAAACTCTGGTCTACAAAACTTTTTCTATCCATTTAGTGCCGTGGCCCGATGCCGTTTTGGTAGCACAGTGAACGAATTACAGAACTGTAGAAAAAGACATTTTTTCCTACAATTTTAGTTAAAAAGAGTTAGGCGATTCCGACGCCATGGGTACTCCATTATCTACTTAATTATTTACGCTGAACACAGCATAGCTACCAAATTTTTTCTCGTTCACGATTTTGTTTCGCGATCAGACACATATAAAAGAAAAATATATCTCACAAGAATCACTTTTGTTCTTATCTTTAAATGATTACACAATAGGTATCTGTATGAAATATGAATAAAGAATAATGAACCTTTCATCATATCAGCAAGTACAAAGAAAGAGCAACATTTAGACAGGTCACTATCGTACCGTTGATCTTTTATTCAAACAAAACTTCCAAGTTAGAAATATTTCAGTGTGAAGGAGAAAATTAGTTTTCACATTTAAGATGTCTCAAAATATGAACTCATTGCCATTATTTCATACCGTATTGATCGCCAATCGTGGTGAAATAGCTGTACGTATTGCTCGCACGCTTAAATCGATGGGAATCAAAAGCGTAGCTATTTATTCAGAAGCAGATAGATATAGCAATCATGTAAATATTGCAGATCAAGCTGTTGCAATTGGAGGCAGTTATCCTTCGGAAAGTTATTTATCGAGTGAGAAAATTCTGGAAGTGGCCCAACAGACTGGTGCTCAAGCCATTATTCCTGGTTACGGTTTCTTATCAGAAAATGTTAATTTTGTTGAATGTTGCGAGAAGCACGGATTGGTCTTTATTGGTCCTACTGCTGAACAGATGAAACAGTTGGGGCTTAAACATGCGGCTAGAAAAATCGCAGAGGATGCTGGGATACCAATAATTCCTGGAACTGGTTTATTAGCTAATGTGGATGAAGCCATTTCTGAATCAAAACGACTTGGTTATCCACTAATGTTAAAAAGTACAGGTGGAGGTGGTGGTATTGGACTGGTACATTGTGAAAATGAAGAGGAATTGATTTCTGCATTTGAATCCACTCGAAGACTAGTAAAGAACTTTTTTAAAGAAAATGAAGTATTTTTAGAACGTTATGTGAAAGATGGACGACATATTGAAGTGCAAATCATCGGTGACGGTCTTGGAAATGTTTTAGCATTAGGCGAGCGTGATTGTTCTCTTCAACGCAGACATCAAAAAGTTGTAGAAGAAACGCCGGCACCGAATTTACAATCGACGACTAGAGAAAAAATGTTAAATGCAGCGGTAAAACTCGCCAAATTTGCTAAGTATCGGTCGGTCGGAACAGTAGAGTTTCTTTACGACTCTTCAAATGATCAATTTTATTTTCTCGAAGTCAATACCCGTTTACAAGTAGAACATGCGATAACAGAAATGGTTACAGGCGTTGATTTAGTAGAATGGATGATATTGGTTGCATGTGATAAATGGCGAATGCCAAGAGAACCAATTATTTCAAAAGGGGCTTCCATTGAAGTTCGACTGTATGCTGAAAATCCAATAAAAAAATTTCAACCGTCGGCAGGAATATTAACAGAAGTCAGATTTCCGGATAATATTCGTGTAGACACCTGGGTAGAAACTGGAACAGAAATTTCTACATATTATGATCCGATGTTAGCCAAACTTATCGTATATGGAACCGATAGGGATGATGCTCTTACCAAACTTCACGTAGCACTCGATAATACAAGTGTAGCCGGAATTGTCACAAATCTTGATTATTTACGTGCAATTACTAAAGCATCATTTTTTCGAACTGGCAAAGTTACTACCGACATCTTATCAACATTTAGCTATTCATCAACAATCATCGAAGTAATAAAGCCTGGTAATTACACCACGGTTCAAGATTATCCGGGACGAATCGGTTATTGGGACGTTGGCGTTCCACCTTCGGGACCAATGGATCATTATGCTTTTCGAATTGCGAACAGAATAGTTGGCAATTCTCCTCTCGCAGCAGCATTGGAATTTACTCTCATCGGTCCAAAACTACGGTTTTACAGCAAAACAATTATTGGAATTACCGGCCCAAATTCTCACGCAACATTGGATGGAATAGCGATTAAACCTTGGATACCAGTCGAGGTTTCACCAGGACAAATCTTAGAATTCGGCAATGTAGAAACCGGTTGTAGAGGATATTTGGCTGTTCGCAATGGATTAGATGTCCCTCTGTATTTGGGAAGCCGATCGACATTTGTAATGGGACAGTTTGGCGGACATGCCGGTAGGCAGTTGTGCGCTTCGGATATGATTGCAATCAGTCAACCAGACCTTGCTGCTTGCACCACTCCACCACCGTTGTTCGATCCATTACCCACACCACTACCACTAATTCCGACTTATTCTGATCACTGGGAAATTGGTGTTCTATATGGTCCGCATGGTGCACCCGACTTTTTTCAACAAACCTATATCAATACCTTTTTTACTACTGACTGGAAGGTTCATTACCATTCTGATCGTGTTGGTATACGACTCATGGGCCCAAAACCAATTTGGACACGATCTGACGGTGGTGAAGGCGGTTTACATCCATCCAATATTCATGATTGTGAATATGCCATCGGAACAATTAATTTTACGGGAGATACACCTATTATTCTTGCTCTTGATGGTCCGAGCCTTGGCGGTTTTGTTTGTCCGGCTACTATTATACAAGCAGAAATTTGGAAAATAGGTCAGCTTAAGTCTGGTGACAAAGTCCGGTTTCGATGCTTAAATTTTAATACAGCTTTAAATTTGGAAATGGCTATGGATCGCGCTATTGAAAACTTTGAAGATAAAATTGAAGCTCAAGAGAGTCCATTATCATCGTACACCAATTCAGAATGTATATTAGCTAAATTACCGTCAGCAATAACATGTCCTGAAGTTGTTTACCGTCAAGCAGGAGATAAGTATATATTAATCGAATATGGTCCTAATGTATTAGATTTTAAACTTAGATTACGAGTTCATAGCTTAATGGAAGCATTAAACAAAAATACTATATCTGGAATTATTGAACTCTCACCAGGCGTTCGTTCTCTTCAAATTCATTATGATGGAAGAACAATTCATCAGAAAGAGTTGGTACAAATTTTACTAAAGATTGAAGCTGAATTACCTTCAGTAGAGCAAATAGTTGTTCCAAGTAGAATTGTCCATATGCCATTAGCTTTTGAAGATAAAGGTTCGTACGAGGCAATTAATCGTTATCGGTCATCGGTTCGGAATACAGCTCCTTGGTTACCGAGTAATATCGAATTTATTCGTCGGATAAATGGATTGAAGGATCAGAATGATGTTAAAAAAATAGTATTTGAAACAAGTTATATTGTTTTCGGATTGGGTGATGTGTA